AGGACATGTTCTGCTCAGAACAGGCCTTGCCATGGTCGACCAAAGCAGTTGAGTGCATGTTCTCAACATCATATCCAGAGGTTGTCTTTGAGAAATAGATGTATGAGTTCTGCCAGCATTGCTGCAGAGGTTGAAGGGGTTGGGGGGTCAGCCTGTCAGTGCTCAGACCATACGCCGCACACAGCATCACATTGGTCTGCTTGGCTGTTGTCCCAGAAGGAAGCTTCTTCTAAAGATGATGAACAAGAAAGCCGGCAGTTTGCTGAAAACAAGCAGACTAAGGACATGGATTACTGGAACCATGTCCTGTGGTCTGATGAGACCAAGATCAACTTATTTGGTTCAGATGGTGTCAAGCGTCTGTGGCGGTAACCAGGTGAGGAGTACAAAGACAAGTGTGTCTTGCCTACAGTCAAGCATGGTGGTGGAAGTGTCATGGTCTGGGGCTGCATGAGTGCTGCCGGCACTGAGGAGCTAAAGTTCATTGAGGGAACCATGAATGCCAACATGTACTGTGACATACTGAAGCAGAACATGATCCCCTCCCTTCGGAGACTGGGCTGCAGGGTAGTATTCCAACATGATAAACAACAGCAAACACACCTCCAACACACTGCCTTGCTAAAGAAGCTGAGGGTAAAGGTGATGGACTGGCCAAGCATGTCTCCAGACCTAAACTCTATTGAGCATCTGTGGGGCATCCTCAAATGGAAGGTGGAGGAGCGCAAGATGTCTAACATCCACCAGCTCCGTGATGTTGTCATGGAGGAGTGGAAGAGGACTCCAGTGGAAACCTGTGAAGCTCTGGTAAACTCCATACTCAAGAGGGTTAAGGCAGTGCTGCAAAATTATGGTGGCCACAAAAATATTGACACTTTGGGCCAATTCAGACATTTTCACTTAGGGGTGTACTCACTTTTGTTACCAGCAGTTTAGACATTATTGGCTGTGTGTTATTTTGCAGGGACAGCAAATTTACATTGTTATACAAGCTGTACACTCACTACTTTACATTGTAGCAAAGTGTCATTTCTTCCGTGTTGCCACATGAACAGATACAATAAAATATTTACAAAAATGTGAGGGGTATACGCACTTTTGTGATATACTGTATTCTTTTACATTAATTTATATTTAACCCGTGCCCGCCTCCAGCATGGAGTTCTACATTTAAAATTTACATATACATACATTCTTTAGACATATAATATGTGCTCCCCTCTTCAACACCACTAGTGCAACAAAATCCACTCGCCGCCACCTTCCAAACCATGCACCTTTCCGGACTTAAATATACATTAGCATAGATGAGAAATGGCTCCTCATTTAACACTGATCCTGCTTCTAATCTCATTAGGGCATCATATCATAGTTCAAAAGAGAAAGATCATATAGCGTAGTATATATTGTAAATGGGTCTATTTTATTAAAATTGTGCTTACAAGAAAACCTCTTTAAAACCGCATATCTCCTCAATGTAGAAGTACTGTGTCCATTCAGTACAGCATATGTTATACAGAACCTCTCTCAAGATGGCCACTCCGCTACTTCAAGTTTACGTCCACGTCCGAAGTCACGTTTCGTTTGAAGACATCGGAAGTGACGAAACGCGTCAAGGGACGTGACGTCAGACGTAGACGGAAACCGCAACTAGCAGAGCGGGCATCTATGCTAATGGGTATTTAAATGCAGTAAGGTGCATGGTTTAGCAGGTGAAGGCAAGTGGATTTTGTTGCACTAGTGGTGTTGAAGAGGGGAGCACATATATGTCTAAAGAACACTACACTAGCATACGTTTTCTCTGGAGGTATTCTTTATGAAGATAAGGACGCATTTGAAGGATCAGTTTTTGAGTGGATTCTAATATGGAATGAGATTCAATGTTATGTACAAGCATTTTTAGGGTAAGAGTATTTAATTCAGCCACATAGAAGTGGACACTGGGTGATTTATGCAAGTCTTGAACACAATATACACTAAGATTTAGATTGCGTTTTATTCGACGTTTATGCAATAAGGATAATGCACTAAACGTAGTTTTTGTTTTTTTGAGGCACACGTGGATATTTAAGAGTGATATTTTTGGAGACGGATCAAGTGGAAGTATGAATTTTGAATATTGGAAGATTCACAGACGCTAAGGAGGTTTATTTGACTTTGGACTTTCGGGGGAGTTCGGGGGAGAAAGTGTGACTTTTTGTGCATCTAGGGTGTTTTATATAAATAATTTTGTGGGTATACTGATTTTTGCTCTTCATTACATATACATACGTCATTTACCTTGCAGGCACCTGACAATTTGTTAATAATCCATACTGTATTTTGGAATAACCTCACCTCTGTGCGCCAGAATTTCTCCTTTACAGTACATTTACAATACCATGTATTGTTTTTAGAAGCTGCATATGCTAATGAAATTGGTTGATTAGTTTCACAGAGACTAGTAAAACAAGAAGTGATGTTGCAGGAAATGGGGACCCGGTGATTGACATCCCTAGCCGCCAATGGCAGCGCAGGTAGGGTGGCACGTGCCCCCTACCCAGAAATGCAAATCATGTGTATATATACACGTGCTTTTGCGCAGCCCTGCAGCAGTAGTTCTACTATAGGGTGGAAGGAAAGCGGTTAAACTAGTGAATTGGATTTATCCGCAAAGGATAAGAGATCCATCACCTTCAGACACTAGCGAGGACACTGAGGACTCTCAGACTGGAGTAGGGTTATAGGGGAGGTGCTTCCTCAAATGCTTGCCAGTGTCCAACCTCCTGAAGATGCATGCCTAATAACCAATGGTGTATAAATACAAACCGTAGCACAGATCGTCAGACATAAAAAATTGCAACTACCAATATTTAATGCTACCGAGTCTCGGCTTTCAGAAAATATATCATGTTCTTGTGTTTTAACCGCTAGCCTACAGGGCACTTATACCCCCTTCCTGCTCAGGCCAATTTCCAGCTTTCAGCGATGTCGCACTTTGAATGACAATTGCGCGGGCATGTAACATTGTACCCATATGAAATTTTTATCATTTTTTTGTGACAGATAGAGCTTTATTTTGGTGGTATTTAATCACCTCTGGGTTTTTTATTTTTTCTTAAACAAACCCAAAACCACTGAAAATTTTGAAGAAAAAAAAAAACAATTTTTCTTAGTTTTTGTTATAAAATTTTGTAAATAATGATATGCGCTAATGAGGCTGCAGTGATGGGCACCGATAGGCTGCACTGATGGGCATTGACACTGATAGGCATCACTAATGGGCACTGAAAGGCACTGCACTGATAGGCAGCACTGACTGGCACTGATAGGCGGCACTGACTGGCACTGGCGAAAAGCACTCAGATGGCACTGATGGGTGAAAAGCAGCTCAGATGGGCACTGATATGTGGCATTGATGTGCACTGGTAGGCACTGACACAAGGCACTGTTGGACACTGACAGGTGGCGCTGCTGGGGCTACACTGATCATCAGGGCACACTGATCATCAGTGCCCTGATGATCAGTGTACATGTCACCTCCGTGGAAAGCAGATTACCGGCTTCTCCTCTCGAGCTGTCAGAGTGACAGCTCGAGAGGAGAGAAATGCTGATAACCGGCATTTCCCTGTTTACATGTGATCAGCTGTGATTGGACACAGCTGATCACATGATCGAGCTGACATCTTCGGCTCTTTCCATGATCGGTGATCCGCTGTGTCCGAGGGACACAGCGCACCGTCGATCGCCGCGCTGCAAGCTCCCTTAGCCGCGCATGTGCGGTGAGAATGGGAGGGCGTCATATGACGTCCTCCCAGAACGAGAGAACCACCTTGCATCCGTCATATTACTATATGGCGGGCGGGAGGTGGTTAAAGGGTATCTTCATATGGGGGGAAAAAAAAAAAATGTGCATTTTAGTGGTTTGCCCTGTCAAGACTGAAATTGAGCTCTGCAGTCACTTTTGCAGTAGTGGTTTGCTTATTTCGGGTCAAAATCATGTGCAATGTCCCGTTGTCTATTTCGGTCAGCTGACCATGTCGATCGTGCTTATTTTGGGTCACAATCCTGCGCAATGTCCCTTTGTCTATTTCGGTCAGTTGACCATGTCGATCTCGCTTATACTTATTCAGTCTAAGCTTTCCCAGAAACTGTATATGCCGTCATAACGTTCGATACTGTAGCTCGCGACACAGCAAATAAGTTGGCAGCTTTGGTCAGAGAGGCACTAGCTAAGCGGGCACCAACAATTTGCCCTCCTATCCTAGAAGCTCAATAAGCTCAGACACGACCCCAGTATATACGCACGCAGTATATCATGAAAGTAAGGCTTAGCACCTGTTAGCTAGGTGACTCAACACACAGTGTAAGCAAAAGAATGTTACATCACTTCCACTTTCAGAGCAAAACATGTCATCACTTTCAAAGCTGCAAATCATGTAGTGTTTTGATTTTTTTTGTGCAACCCCTGTATGTTTTGCTTTTCTTTTTCTGAGCCAAGTCATTTGGGTTTTGTCTTATGATGACCCTCTTGAGAGACTGAATTTCAATCCTCCACTAGAGCCTGTCCTAGCTGTTTAAAGAGAACTGCACTTCTGACCTTTTATAATATAAAAGACCAATGTTGTAGATAAGTGTGTCCACGAGCATTGGTGGCAATATAATCTCATCTTTGAATATCTATAGTTGGAAGATTATTTTAAAGAAGAATGGATTGCTGAATTGTAACTAAATTTGTATTTTTTCTACGCACTGCCTTTGCTTTTTTTTCTCCATGTGCTTCTTGTTTGTTTTTTGTTTTTGGTATTATTAAATGTTTCTTTAAGCTGAAGTTCTACATATATTGGTTCGGCTGAAACTCTATGGGTATTAAAGCGCAGTATAATTTTTTACATACATTTTGGCAAAGCTGGTTAACTCTGGTTATCGCTTTTTTTTTTTTTTTTTTTTTTTTTTTGTGGCAAGCACGAGTGTTTTTTTCAATTATATTTGTAAACTGCAAATGTAACATTGTTTCATACCTATTAATACCTGGTGTGACACCAATGCTACCCTGAGCCATAACCTTTTTAATTCCTTTCAACGCAACCATCTTTGCCTTGGCAATAGGATCCATAATGTCATCTGCTGCAAATTTATCAAGATCTGAAATAGAAAAAAAATAAAAAAAATAACAAATTGCAATTTAACCACTTTAATACGGGACACGTTCAACCCTTCCTGCCCAGAACAATTTATAGCTTTCAAGTGCTGTCACACATTGAATGACAATTACAACGGCAAGCAACACTCAATGCAAATTAATTTTTTTTTCTTTTTTTGGGACAGGGCTTTCTTTTGGTAGAGTTTAATCACCACTAGGGGGTTTTTTGCTATATAAATGATAAAAAAAATTTGAAATTTTGTAAATCTTTTACATTTCTTGAAGCCCTAAAATGCCAGGACAGTACACATAGCCCCCAAATTACCACTTTCTGGAATGTAGACAATCTGAATTATTTAATAAGAGGCATGGCGAGTTTTATTTTCTGTACAATTTTAGGACAAATATTTGTTTTAGTTTTTTTTTTTAAACATACTGTCACCAGAGCAGTACAATATCATCATATGACTGGTGTGGTGATGATCAAGTTTTTTTTTTTTTTAAACTTACTGTGACCATAGCAGTGCATTGTTACCATAATTACATTGTACTACTCTGGGGAAGTAATCAGGATTTTGTTTTTCTTTTTTTACGCTATGATTGCCTAGAACAGTGATGATCACAGTTACAAGCAATTATTTTTATGAATGGCGTCCATTCATAGAGAACTATTGTGATGACTGATTGGCCACAGCTATCACATGGTACAGATGTACTGTGACTGGCCTTGTCTGACCATGTGATCACTGTGGCCAATTGCAGATATCATCACAATAGTACACAATGAATGACTATGAATGAAAGCTATTCATGGAGTACAACTCATGTGACTGCTGTGATTAGTCACAACAATGACATGGTACCAGGCAGCCCAGTACAATGATCTGTCATCTGCTTTGTCCGGCAACAGATCGTGCTGCAGCACGGCCCCAAGGGCGAGCATGAGGCAGGTGACTGGAAGGACGTCATATGACTTACACCTGGAACAGGAGTGCTCCCACTCGGCCGTAATTTGTCTATAGGTCAGGTGGGAAGCAGTTAATCACCACAAAACTGTCTGAAATCAGTTTTGTGCAAACCTGGCAATTAAAGCTCAATTCTAGCCTCTACTTAATTCCTGGTGCTAGACGTATCAGGGGCTTGTGTACATAACTGTTCATAAATCATGTTTCAAAGATAACAAATTAGAGTTGGAATTTGAAAGGGCAAACACACAGCAAGCACAGTACACACATTCCAGATTAATTTGCTGAGCTTTAATCACTCCTATTTAAAGGAGGTTGACAAATACCAAGGGAAGGAGTGAAATGCACATAGTCATCTTACATGCATATCTTTTAGCAAAGTAAATTTGCTTTGCTGTTTTTAGCTAACAAAATCTGTGCATCCGTACTTTATTGGGCTTTAAAATGGCTGTGATGGTGGCCTCAACACTAGGAAATCCTTCAGGTAGATTTTAGCATTAAAATCAGATGTACAACAAGGCAAGTTGTCTTATAGCATAGTGGTGGACTACATCCTTGCAATACAAACATCAAGATACTTCATCCTAATAACAAAAACACACACACCACAAACATGGAAGATTACATAGATAGATAGATAGATAGATAGATATATATATAGATATAGAAGTAATAAAGATACCTGTATCTGGGAAAAAGTTGTTTGTTGGTTGTTGTTGCTGCTGCTGCTGCTGCTGTTGCTGCTGCTGCTGCTGCTGCTGTTTGCTGCTGCATAACCAACTGCTGCTGTTGCTGCTGCTGCTTCATTATTATCTGCTGGCCCAAGATTGGCTTTGGAGGAAGTGCTTGCTGCTGATGTCCACTAGTTTGAACCAAGTGCTGACCACCAAGCAAGTGACTCTGATTAGTTGCAATATGCATGGGTGACTCTAGTGTGGAGCTAGCTTGTGCACCAACAAGTCTTTGCTGCATTTGCTGTTGAGGAGATAAAATCTGTGGAGCAGAACCTGCGCCTTGATGCCTAGGTACAAGGCCTATACCAACTAAGTTTGCTTGATGTCCATCTTGCTGAAGGTGAGGTGCTGAAGAATTTGATATGGATGAGCTGGTTAACATTGAATGAGCCTGTACACCTTCTGGATGCTGTGATGTCAGCATTTGCTTTTTCTGCTGTTCTTTTTTCTCATGTTCTAGAAGGTCCTCTATTAGGAGTGGGAGCTCACTTGCTACAAGAGAACTCTCCATCTTATCTAGATCATCACTGGGAGACTGTCGATTGCATTGCAGGCCTAGTGGACCTTCATCCAAATCAAATTTCCCTAATATTAAGTTGCTTGGATTTGCCATAACTGAAGAATCTTTACTGGAAAAAAGGGAGCCACTCTGGTTTGTGGCTTGAACAACATTTGTACTAGCAGTATGAAGACTAGGTCCTGATTTTAATAAACCTATAGAAACTTTTTCTGTTCCAATGGATGATTCTGTTTTAATATTAACAGAATTGCTAGCAGAAAATTGACATGTATTAGCTTTCAAGCCACTGTCTTCTAACTTTGGTTTTAAATCACTTGCGTACGAAGACTGATTTGTTTCCACACTAGCAGTGACTTGAGAAGTACTCCCACAGCCTTCAAGACGGGGGCCCAACTCAATTCTTAAGTCACCTGCTAGTTTATCTTTGGTTATTTCAACTTTTGCTTTATCTTGCAATTCTTGCTGCAACTTGCTTGGCAGAGCATCTGTTTTCGTCTCTACAACTGGATCCATTTTAAGCATTGCCTCTTCTTCAGCTTTCTCATTTGCAGATTCAACTAGGCGCAAATGTTCATTGAAAATATCTTTTTTGTCTCCTGTGTCCAATTCTGGGTCGGTATAAGCAAGGAGGTCAAACTCATCACCGTTCAGAAGATCATCTAAATGTGGATCATTTGTCTCAAGGTTATCAAGGTTGTCCAAATCATCATCAGCTTTAGCAACATCAAGACTCAAATTTGCCAAATCATCATCTTCCAGGTCTTTGTGTGAATCAAAATCAACATCAAGCTCTGGAGGTTCCTCGCACTGTACTCTACTAGTTCCAATACTAGCAACAGAACCTCCCTTTGAATTTTCAGTCTGTGAGGTTGCTGGACGAAGTTGATCACCTGTTTGTTGCTGAGGAACCTCTGGTGCAGCTTCAACTTTACTCTGAAGCGTTTGTGGGATATTACTAATGTTTCTACCCTGAGGAAGTGATGGAGGAGTAGCGCCCACAACTTTCTGAGGTTGTATTATTTGATTCCTTATTACTGGCACGTGTAAAGGAGTACCCTCACCTCTAATTACACCTGTCATTAACAAGGAGCTGGTACCATCAGTTGGTAAAAAAAAGCGGGGCCTGTTTTGAGAGCCAGGAGGTGAAAAAGGACCACTGACTGGTAGCTTCTGTCCATGATTATGGCGCAGCTCAATATAGGGTGCTCCACCAACAGTGACTGAAGAGGGAAGCTGATCTCCAGGAAATGGTAAACGCACTATTCCTCCACTGACCATTGTAGGACTTTGTGATGGACGATTAACTTCTGGAAATCGAACAGGTGCCATAGTCCTTTGTGCTGCAACTGGAGGCTGCCAGACATTTTGCTGATCAGGGTAAGATCCTCTTGAATAGAAGGTCTGTGGTGTGTCAGAAGAATGTCTATATAAAAAAAAAAAAAAAAAAAAAAAAAAAAAAAAAAAAGGATTAGGACAGGATTGTATAGAGCGTGCAAAATGCAAAAAAGCCTCTTCCCCATGCAATGTTAACATCTGGGTTAAACTTAAAATGACAGATCCTGTTATTCGCTGACTTTTCCTAGGATGCTCATCCTCCATTTTCAATTCTTGCTGAGTTGCTACAAGTATGCAAGTCAGAAAAAAACATCTTCACAGACTTATTTCAGGTCAGTGACTCTACGCAATTCAATGTCCCACTAACAAGTTTGCAGCAATGATTTGTAGCAACTAAAAATTTCTCAGATTATATTCTCTGGTGAATACAGAGTTCCTGCTGTAGCTGGCTACAATGCTCATCTATACAGCAACAAATGGCTAGCTTTGCATGGTCCACAGCTGTGCCAGAAAACATGCCTAGCAACTTTGTTCTTAGCTTCAAAAGCTACTGATCAGTGACAGATAAAATCTCTTGGAATTTCACAGACCTTTCATTGACTACACTTAATTTTTCCCTTGTTTCCAAACAAAACATAACGAAACAAAAACACTTAAGGGGAACAATTATCTAGCTGCTACAAAGTCACTGGTGTAACATGGGTCAAGTTATAGCAAAGGTTAAGTAGATCAACTAGCCAGGTGAGAATTACTTTCCAGTGTCCACACATGTACTGCTTAAAAGCCTCAGCCAGTAATTTCCACTGGCCAATATGCTTTTCTGGCATTTAGAGGGGAAACGAACAACAGTCTTGGGAAGCGAGGTTCAGGATTCGAGTCTTTATGACTGTATATTTCAAACCATAACTTATCACAAATGAGAAAAAGTACCTGGCAGAAATATCAACAGCAGCAGGTGAAGCAGAAGGCAGAGGTGTACTCAGTCGCTCCTCTTGTGGAAATTGTGATGATGGTACCACTTGTCCAGGAACTTTGGGAGCACCGGGAGATGGCGGTATTACTCCGATTTCATTTTTAACCTACACATTAAAAAAATATGATTAATAAAATAAAAAAAAAAAAAATATCAACATGAAGAAATACTGCTCTTTAACCCTTAGCAGAAAAGAAAGAGGACATAACCCTGTGGACTGCCTTTATCCTTAGCTGTAAACAGTACCCTTCATTAATTACCAGAATGATTATAAGCTAGAAGGCCATTACTCAAGCTAAGCATATACAATTTAGAAGAACAAAATCTTTCAAACTGTAGATTTTCAAGCATTAGGTCTGAAAACTCACCTGTGTTGGGTAAACAGAAAGCCGCCCAGATGGATCATACACTTGGCCACCAGG